TCGTAACCAGTATGAAATGTGGAAGAGGCCAGGACAAGGTACTCAAAAGGTTAATATGACGGATCATGGAGAAATTCCGGAGAGGCGGGTGCAGGCTGTGTAATTAGAACTCAGAAGAAGCGATGGATCGTGGCTTGCAAGCAAATCCTAGAAAATTATGGAACTAATGAACTAGTTGTCATTTTGAGGGATATTGGAGAATTTTTGAAGATTGATCGTAATATTGACTTCAATTACATTGACATGGAAGCTTGCGATTAATATGGAGGATGATGAAAGACCACATGATGTTGCTCCAACTTGCGTGAATGATATTTATGAGCAAGACCTTCAGGACAGTAGCAACTAATTGGATGCAGATCTCTTATTGCTTTAGCTTTTCTATTTCTGTTTGTTCTGTTAGAGACAATCAGAGAAGCTTTGGTTTTGATTTTTTGATGATGCCTTGTATGAACCGTTTGATTAAGTAATTTAATATGCTCCCTTTTTCCCAAAAAAATAAAAATAAAAGAACACATTGTATAATGAAATAGTTTATTATAATAAACGGAAAAAATAATATTTTTAAAAATAGTTTTTAAAAATTTCGGATAACGGATAATTGAAGTATCCGATCCGAAAAATTTCGGATATCGGATATCGGATATCCGAAACATTTCGGATCGGATACGGATATCAAATTTGCAAATTTTCGGATTCGGGTATCCGATCCGAAATCGGATATCGGATCGGATATCCGATCCGTGATCAGGCATACTATGGAGTATTTACTCTTTCAAACTTAACTCTACAACAAAATCTATCTAATTATATCAGATTCATTACCTTTCCATAAACTCTAAAGCGGTGTTTTAAGTTTGGCTCATGAAAGTTGAACTAGGATATTTGTGAATAGAATACTTTGTCTCTAATAAATTGAGTCTTTATTAACTTTAATGCTTGTTGGTATTAAATTATGCATATATGGTACTATTTTTAATACCAATAAAGGATTCAATTGAAGCAAAAAAAAAAAAAAAACAATTGAAAAAAATGAAGAAGTGTTTTGGTATAAATGAACGAGATACTATCTGAGGTTACTTTTGGGAAAGACATTTTATGATAGATGTTGGTTCCCATAATGTACAAAAAAAAAAAAAAAAAAAACAAGGGAGAATTACTGATATTAACCAATATGTTGCATATGCAATATTTTATTCTTGGACAATGAAAACAAGCTTACTTTTATTCTTACAAAAAGTGAAAGAGGGGTGGCTATTGAATAAAGTAACCCAATGGGTAAATTGTTAGATCAAAACATATTGGTCCTTTTTTATACCTTGCATAAAGTTTTAATTTACAAGATCATTGAGATCATGATTAATAATAGCCCAATAATTTTGAAAGAAGCGGACTAGGTTTATCAAATCACCTTGATAAACTATATCAAGGGTTATAAGCTTATTAAGCTAAGTGTCATTTTTGCAATATAGTGAAGGATATTTCTCTAAATTAGTCATTGATCCTTCTTCCTTCATATAAATATCCTTCCGCACGTGATCCACCACCGAAAACCAACCCACCTTCATCTTTATCTTCTTCCCGCAATCCCATCTACCTTCATATTCCTCCTCCTTACTCCGATCCCACCCTCATTCATCTTCTTTGTCTCCTTCTTCAAGTCACTTCGATGGAGACTTTGCCAACACCAACACCACTATATCCGACGGCATAACAAAAACCCTAAGAAAAATAGAGAAATAAAGGGGATAATTAACCTAAAAGGTAGGTGAGCTTTTCCTCCTCTATTGAAGTTGTGCTTTCCCTCTACCATTGAAGTTACGCAAAAGTACAAGAATTTTTTTTTTTAATATATAAAAAGCGAATCTATAGGTATTTTATTTATAATTTTGCCATTAGATAAAAAATTTGATTATCAAGGTGAGAAGCTTGTATATATTCGCTCATTTTGAAACATGGATAAATAAAAATATACACTAATTAAGCCATGTTCGACAAGAAAATCTGGTGATTTAATATGAAAATCTGGTCTAATTAAATATCAAAATTTTCCAATTTGATATTTTGGATATCGAAAAATTCGGATTAGATCGGATTGGATTAATTAATTAAAATTGAATAGCCATATAGTCGTTTGGTTCATTTTCGCAAAATTTATAATAAAGTCTAACATTGAACATGTAACTTCCAATTATGTCTTACCACCAAGGTATGTCATTATATTTTCTTTTAAAACAAAATATTATAGAGTAATATGTAGTTAATAAAATTATGAATAAAAAAATTTACTAACAAAAATGTAGAGGTATAAATTAAATGTACACTAATGATCAACCTCATGTCATGACTCATGACATTATCCTGACCCAAATACGAGTAGTAAATGTATATCTAAAGTATTCAAAAAGAAATTATACCAAGTTAAGTTTGGTCTGATGGAAAGGAGAGTCAATTCCCACTAGCGGCAATTTGGAAAATGAGATTCTCTTACCTTTCCCTCGCTCTTCTAAATTGTCTAGCCCCAAATACGAGTAGTAAATAGTAAAAAATTGTATATCTAAAGTATTCAAAGCGAAATTATACCAAGTTAAATTTAGTGTAGTGGAAAGGAGAGCCAATTCCCGCTAGTGACAATTTGAGATGGGATTTCCTTACCTTTTTCCCACTCTTTTAAATTGTCTAGTCCGTTAATCTGGACCGAGTTGACCTGTTAAAAATTCCAGACACAATAGGGCCCTTTTACTACAGTACTACTCCGTAGAACATACGGAGGACTGGAGGAGTAATTAAGATAGACTTGGGGCCATTTGGCCATATATGTGGGATTTTCATTTACAAAGAAAAGAATTTACGACTAATGCGCGCGTGGTAGTTAAACGTCAACATTATAGGTTAGGGTGGGTCCCATATGAAGTAATAAAACTGGGGAAAGTTAGAGGTTTAAATTAATTTGACGTTAAATTATGATTTGTACTTCTCCAAATACCGTATATTATATGGTATTAATACTTTGTAAAATTTGAATTATTAACGTTAATATAAAATTTGGAAGCATCAATGTTGTTAATCATAGATCATAGTGGGTGTTTTTTTAATGGTTTGTAGTACACTATGCCATACCACTCCAACTAAGATATTTGGCTATATACTTAACGGTCTATTTAGTTAATTATGTGATTTGTACTAATGATGCATCCCATCATTTTTCATTGGAAAACTTAAAATATGAAGGTTTTCTTAAACTTGAATGCTTGAAGGACACCATGAGCAAATAATTTTGGTCGTAATACTAAATTTTACGGAGTATAATTATTTCATTATTACTCATTTGTATACTACAATATTAATTTACATATTTTTTAAAAAATTACATGTTAATTACATGTTAATCAATTTCTCTCAGATACTTTATTCCTTAATTAATGATTTTGTTTGGTGTTTCCCTAAAAAAAATGTTTGTTTTATTCATAACATTCAATGCACAGGGTTGTTTAGAGTGCGGTTTGGTGCGATTTTCGAAAATGACCAAACCGCGAGTTTGCGATTTGGTTGCAGTTTCCAAAAAAATTTGGACCAAACCGCACTTTGATGCGGTTTGCGATTTACACCGTTAAACGACAAACATTTAAACCATTTTTATCAAAAAAATATATAAAAGAACTTAAAATTATGATGTAATCTTTGACTATTAAGTAATTAAAGGTTAAAAAAGAGTTTAATATTTAAATTATAGGTTTATAATCACAAAATAAAGTAAAAGTTTTTTTTTTTAAAAAAATATTTATGATTTTAAAAAAAAGTGGTTAAACCGCACCAAACCGCACTTTGCGCCTTTGTGGTGCGATTTGGTTATAAGTGCGGTTTGAAAAAAATGCAAATCGTACCGTGAACAACCCTACATTTTACTAGCTTTAAATACATATATTGTATGAATTTGGTAAAAAAAAAATAAAAAATTATTGAATTATTGAAAATGCAATAAAATGAACCATAACAAGATCCCAAATAATCATTTGGTATTGTTTTGATGTATATGTAGAATTAGTTGAAAATTCATAAAATGTATATGTAGAATTAGTTGAAAATTCATAAAAGTCAAAGTTAGGTTAATTAATTTCATATAACGGAGTGAGTAAATTTTGTAATAGTAATTAATTACATCCAATAGTGACTTTGTGAAATAAATAGAAGAAAATAAAATACAAAAATATGATATAAAAAGGGACAATTAAAGAGAGATAATTAATGATAAAATATAACTTTTGATTATTTAGGTAAACATTCAATATACTCACTTGAGATTTTACTTTGTTTTGATTTTAAAAGACATCGTCCTTCAAGTTGTGTAAAAGTTTTTTAAAAAAAAATAAAAAAATGTAATAGTATTTTAAACTTGATAAAGTTGGTGGGGAACTCACCTTGTGACTTTATAGTCATGAGTTCAAACCCCACCAACTACATTTGCTTGGGAGTAGTGGGAATCTCTTACCTCCCACCTTTACACTCAAGTGTTGACATGCGTAACCTTAAGAATGATCAAACCTCCCTCTACAAATAGCTCACATGGCTTGTATTCTAGCATCTACAGTGTACTCCCACACCCACATTAAGCTACCCTAAGCGTCAAAATCTTGCCAAGGCTGTCAAGGTCTCTCCAAACTTGGCGTGGTACTTGGCTAGTTTTATCTACTACTCCGACAAAAGAACTCTCTATCTCCATAAAAGGCTACTGTCTCATCTCTCAAAAAAATTTGGATCCCTTGAACTTCACACATTGCAAAAGAAAATCTACGGATTCAACAGCTTGAGAGAAGAAAACCAACATTTTTCAAAATTGGAACAATCATATATACTTGGCAGATTGGCAGAACGAACAGAACCACATGGATGATGGATCACTGCTTCGATCACCAGTGGTATGCAACAGGTTGTACTGTTGAAAATTGGTCTGATATTCGGGATAAATCAATACCATAAGAATCAATTTGTTACAATCTTCAAAAAAAAAAAAAAAAAAAAAAAAAAAAAAAACTGGATTTCTGACAGCATTCAATTTGCAAGTTGATGCAAATTGCAAGGTACTACAATGACTTATATATCACATCTTTGATACCTCAAACGCTTCAGAAAAGACCTGCGGACTGATTGCATTAAGCAAACAGCATTCACCAAAATGCAAAGCAGCTAAAAAATTGGGAGAAAGCTAGCCGGAATAAAAAGATAATTGAAGCTACAGGAAAGAGCAAGATAAGACCCTTCTAGTAATGAACATTGTGATTTGATCATAAGGAAGAAGACATGCGGAGGACTCCTTGATTTCTTTCTAATTTAATAGGAGTAGAAAGCTAAACATCACATCCAACATATCTCAAGAAAACCAGCTATGCTTTAGAATCCAACTATAAATCAATTGAATAGTGGTCAGACATCTACTTTCTTCACCAGATATAATCAGTTCAAAGGCTTCATTACTTCATTTGCATGTTAATAATGTTTACTTGTTCCAAAATTTGCATATGTTCATCGGCTTCAGAGTTCAGATCCAAAAAAATGGACAATTTCAAAATTCACCACTTCTTGGCAACTTCCACTACACTTGTCGATTTGAATGTTAAACTGGATAAAAATTCTCTCATCAGCTGTGTTCCTCTTTACAAAAAGAAGAGAGGCAATCTTGTTTCACCACAAAAGATCAACCTGAGAACAGAAAAGAAGTGACAATCTTGTGTTAACCTCCCCATTTGAAAACCAGTATAACTAAGAATTAATAGCATTAACTTTAGATCAAAAACCATAAACAAAAAAAAAAAAAAAAAAAAAAAAAAAGAAGAAAAAAGAAATGCCCCTCTGATCCTGGGTAAATTGTACATTAGTTACTACATAGAATGCTAGGACATCTTAAGATACAAAGTTGGAAGTCTCACAGCATTGATATGTGTTGGAAAATAGGATTATGTACACAACTCTAGTTAAATAAGTTTTAATTTTTGTGGAGGAGGAAGATTTTTGTAGATGACCATACGGAATAATCACTTATGGTTCATGTAGCCGACCCCACTGATGGGATTAAACAAATTTAACCCCTTCAAGAGGTATATTTTCAACTGCCCATCAACACATGTCATACAACAGGGACTAACAGACATAGATCAGAATGTTAAGCAGAAGACAAAAAAAATTACTAGTAGATGAATGCATAAAGTGAATGGTTAGCACAAATAGAAATGATATGAAGGTACAAGTATAAGAAACAATGGATAACTAACAACTCAGGAGATTTTTTTTTAATTTTTTTTTTTTTTAAAAGTGTATATGGTGCCTACCTGAAAGGCTGAAATGGTGGCTTCCTCCATCTCCTTCATCTGACATCTCTTACAATCTACATGATTTTGCCCAAGCAGATGTACTGAAAAGAAAAAACAAATTTTAGTGGACTAGATTAGCATTTATTTGCATGAAAAAGCAGCTTGGAAAGGGGGTAACAAGGACTAATGAAAGGAGAAAAGGTACAGACAGCTACAACTATTTCACAAACCCTCAACACAAATCATCTAGTCATCAAAGAAAAGTCTTATAGGATAAAGGTAGCCCTAACCGGAAACCTTTAAATCTGAGCTCTTTGCAATATGTACCTTGGAAGAGCAACAGGCAGAAAACGCAGTCCTCTGTTACTTGAATTGTTCCCATTGCTCTTCCCTGAACCACCCCTGGCCTTGTAAACGTGCTATTCCTGAACAATGAGAAGGTCACAGCATGTCAGCTCATGATAATTTTAAAAGGTTTTGAAGCTTGTAAAGCAGGTCTGTTTCTATAACTCTCTCAAATGCAAATGATGAATTGTACACAGTAAATCATCTTTACACGAAGAATTATAATGGCTACCAATTAAATAGATAATACTCTACATTTTATAGGCCAGTGGAAATTTTACAATTAGTTGCCATCATAATGTAGAAATGCTACAATCTCTGTTTTAAAAATATCTCTCACCCAGTCACAAAACTGGCGGGAGGTTAGCCCTCATTTATACCAAAAACATCACATAGTTCAAATTGTTTCCACCCCCACCTCTCCACCCCCCAAAAAAATCCACCCCCCCCCCCCCCTATTTTTAGTCCAAAAAAGTTTATCTAACCCCACAAAAGCTAATCTCAGATTTGTTAGAGAACCTTTACCACAGCAAAAATAATATCTTGTGTGCAAAGAGAAAAAGAGATTTGGGTAATAGCAGTATTGATAACAATTGACCAGATATATATTAGATACAACATACCAGCAGAGCTGACAGGCAACAATTACACAAATGGAGGAGAAGCACTCTATAAAACATGGAGCTGTTTTGACCCTCCGTATACCTGACAGAAAAAGAGAACCCTTAGTACGCCATAGTCGTGTAGCAAGTAAGATGTTGACGTTTTATGTAGCAAGTAAGATGTTGACGTTTTATGTAGCAAGTAAGATGTTGATGTTTTAAGTTCCAAATTGGAGATTAATCACTAAAATTGACTACTATTACAAAGCCCCCTCCCCCACCCCCCCCCCCCCCCCCCCCCCCCAAAAAAAAAAAAAAAAAAAACTCCTCTATCTTTTTCCTCCCTTTAGATTGCCCGGTATTGTGAAATAAACACCACACAGAAAAATGGTGCAAAGTAGCATACAACCACAAGGTACTTCTACACATTTCTTTAGGCACATTTGTCAATGCACAATTTCAAACATTAAAACCTTCAATTATCAATACGCAAAAAATTATAAAAAGTTCATATTTGAAATTATACAATGAGACGAATGTAACAAGACTCCCCATTGACTATGTATTTTCTCAATTATATATCACAGCAAAAAGTGAAAGTAACTTTCATAAATAGTGTTCAAAGTCAACACGTATCAACTAAAATGAAATGGAGGAAGTATAAGATAAAACGAAGCTCTTCTTAATGAACAAGAAGAAGCTTATCCGGCTGTATCAATTTCGAAAGAAAATGTAAAAAATTCTAAGGCAAGGGATCACAACCAATTAATAGAAGGATTTACAGAACTTACAAAATATATACAAATTTCCACCAGTTTTGATGCTCAACCATTGAGCTTTGATAGAAACTGGTCAAGATTGTATTCTTCTGTGTATTGTGATTGATCCCAGAGTTCTTCCAGACCATTAAGAATGGCTTTCAAGCCTTTGCCACTTCCAGATCCTTTTTTATTTTCATTTGAATTGCCCTCAGAGTTCTTCAGTTTTAAGCCACCCTTTCTGGAGTTCTCAGCAGGCGTGAAAAGGTCCAAGAGCTGATCTGTGTTCATTGTTTTCAAGCTGGCATTGTCTGCATTGATAACAGAATTAGCAACTGATACTTTGAATTTCTGAAGGCTCATAACTTTCTCTTCTAGAGTTCCCCGCATGATGAGACGATGTACGTTCACTACTTTCTTTTGACCAAGCCTGTGTGCTCTATCCATTGCCTGGAGATCTCGCATTGGATTCCAGTCATGCTCCATAAAAATAAGAGTGTCAGCTGATGTCAAATTCAAACCAAGCCCGCCAACATGCGTTGTAAGCAGCAATACATCAATTGTAGGATCAGAATTAAAAGCTTTGACTATATCAAAACGCTTTTCTGTATGTACGGATCCATCCAAGCGCAGATATGCCACATTTCTCATATGGTTACGGAACAAGTCTCTTTCTATTATGTCCAACAAGGCCTTGTGCTGAGCAAATATCAAAACTCTATGCTGACCAAAGTTAATCATGCTTTCAGAATTTGATGCATCAACACCTATCCCACACTCTTCCAGGATCTCCTGAAGAGCAATCAATTTAGGAGAGTGGTGAAGTTTATGGAGTTCAGAGATGACATCAGGACTTCCAGGAAGGAGATCTGACAAAATATGTTTTAGTGAATCAACTGCATCATCACTAGCTACTAGCAGTGGATGACTGCAAAGTTTGAGCAGATACTGAAGTGCCTGGAAGATATGTGATGATGCTTTAGGAGCAAATTTTTCATCCTTAGCCTCTTTGTAGGAGTCATCCAGATTGACAATACTTGATATTTCCTTTTTAGCATGGGAGCCTGAAAACTGCTCATATAGTTTCAATTGAACAGGGCTAAGGTCACAATATCTGTCCTGAATGATTTTCTCAGGAAGATCAGATAAGACTTCATCTTTTGTTCGTCGGAGCAAGAACGGCATCACCTGCTTGTGCAGTGCCTCCATAGCTAAAGCACCAGCTTCAGCATCCTTAGCAGAACATTTCGGATCTCTTGCTGCCAACAAGGGCTTTCCATATAAAGCTTGAAATTGTCTATCGGACCCAAGAAAACCAGGCATCAAAAAATCAAAAAGAGACCACAAATCCAAAATGTTATTTTGAATAGGAGTTCCACTGAGTATAAGACGATTTTGAGCTTTCAACTGCTTCACAGCAGCAGTAATCTTTGACCTGGCATTTTTTATAACATGCCCCTCATCCAAGATGCAATAATTCCACTGAAGCTGCCCAAAAAAATCGACATCTTTACGCACAACATCATATGAAGTTATGATAACATTATGCTTGTTAAAGAGACTTCTAATGGTAATACGTTCTTCAGCAGAGCCAGCATATTGAAGAGTACTGATAACAGCAGGATCAATAAACTTCTCTACCTCATATGCCCAATGACCAACAAGAGTTGAAGGGCAAACAATCAAAGAGGGAAGAGGCTCTTTGCCATTATTTATCAGGCAATGTTCGGCTATATCTGATGCAACAATTGCAGAAGCTTGTAGGGTTTTACCAAGTCCCATATCATCGCATAAAATTCCATGCAATTTAAAACGTCTAAGAAAAGCTAACCAATTAATGCCTTCTTGTTGGTATCTCCTTAAGGTTACCTTTAACTCGGTAAAAAGTTTATAGTCATCGATGCTAGAATTATCAAGTAGCTGCTCCAAGAATTTTGCATCCTCTTTGTCTCGTAACAAGCTATCATTGATTCCAGCAGGCGGAGGAAGGCCGCGCGCCAAAGGAAGAAAAGGCACCAATGCAGCAAAACTCCGTGTCACACTCTGCCTCACTGAAGCATCAGAATCACTCATGCACCTAAGAAGAGGAACAACTAACAAGGGAGCATAAGGGACCAGTTCCATTCCCAATCCTTGGACAAGCAGACCAATAAGCATACCTGCTCCTTGTCTGGCAGGAACGGATGCAGTATCACCCAACATAGGCACAGCGTTCTCAACCACAGATGCCATCACACTAACTATCATGGACTTTGCCATAGTAGTAATACATCTGGAAGCGGCTAATCTAACAGCAACATGTGAATGACGAACACATCTGAAAATGCATGGGAGGAGAGTGAGCAGTTTTGGCTTCAATGCATCATCCAGCAAAGGGGCAATTGAGCGTACCACTTGTATGTTATTTATCAAAAGTTGAGGATCACTGATAGATTCAATTGCTACCGTAATCTTTTTCTCTTCAGCAGAAACTTCCCCTTGCAGATCAATGGGCTTAAGAACTTCTGAAAGACAATCCCATAACTTGGGAATTTTGTCAAACAAGGAAGCCCCAAACTTTTTACACAAGTGCTTAAGAGCAAGTTCAGCTCCTCGCCTGCTGATGAAACCTTCAACCTTTGATCTCTCTTCAACACTAGCTACTGAACGGCCCCTAGACCTCTGATTTGAACTCATGCTTCTACATAAAAGGAGTTCCTGGTCCTCAATGACTTCCATTGATGTTATGATTCCTGCTTGAGGTGTCTCAGAAGGGTCCATGCAGGTCAAACTACAAACGTTCTTGACCAATTTTTCATTAGGACTGGGTTTACGTGCAATACAATCATCGATAAGCTCAGCAAGAGCTTCAGCAGCCTTCTGTTGCAGTATTTCCTCTTGTTCTCTTTTCAGAGAAGCCATCAAGGGCAAGATAATTGGATTAAGCCTTTTAGGAAGATCTGAAATCCATACAATTGCAGCAGCAATCAAAGAAGAAACAGTAACATGCAAATTGCTTTGCACACACTTCAAATAGCCAGTGGTTGTCAGTAAACGTTGTCTTGAGGACTCTACATCATCTAAAACAAGCTTTTCTCCGGGGCTCTCTACAGAGCTATCATAGCTAGGCAGCACAACTTTCAGAGCAAAGTCCACTGCATCATCCATACCCAAATTTCCAAGGTCAATACTAGTAGTTGACAAAAGATCCTTCAACATTCCACATGACTCAACAGCTTGGAGCAAGTGACTGGCTTCACTGCGCATCTTGGAGTATGTTCTTGACAGCTCAGCATAAGGTAGTGATGAATCTTTTGTTGGCAAAGAAGGATCAGTACAGGCCAACAAATCCAGCAGCCAAATCTTAAATTGTTCAAAAAGAGCAGAATTAACTCCCTGTGCTGGTGAAACATCCCCATTTTTCATCTCCTTAAACCAAGCAATCAGAACCATCGAAGATATCTGCCGCTGGACACCAGATAATGAGGATATATCTTTCCATAATGGATCAGTTATATGGTGTATTGATGACTCTGGCCACTTTGAAGCAAGAATACCCAAAGCTGCTGCAGCCACTACTCGCGTGCGAGTCACAGACTTCTCCGAATCAGCACCGACAACTATCTTGACAGAGGAAGCAGAAGCATCTCCAGAGTCCTCTAGTATGGTCCCTTTTGCAGCCCCTACATTACCACCTCTTCCAGCATAACTGTCCACCTTCACAGCCCGCATTTTTGCAGCAGTGACAAATCTTCCTTTCTGAGGTGGGGCGACAGGCCAGAACATCTTTTTAATATCCAATTCGGAGCCATAAGGAGTAGTAGCCAACTCCAACCACGAGGAGATATGGGAACTTGCAGCAGTCACTAGATCCATAACAGGGCAATGAAGCAATAGCTTCCACACCCTCTCACTGCACTGTAAAATTTCTTCATTTGACTCCAGCAGCAAATTCTGGAAGACAATGCGAAGGGTGTCACCCAAAATTGAGGAAGGCCAAAAAGAATCAGCAGAAGGCTCAGTGATGTGTCTTTTATATCGAGCTTCAAGCAGCCTTTCCAGCGTTCTAATGGCTGAATATCGAACCGATGAGATACTATGTCTCATAAATGGCCATAAACGTGGAGCCAGAGCTGATAACATATAAGGGTTTTCGTTTGCTGCTGTTACCTCCAATTCATCTTTGTATGACAAATCTTCATTTAGATCAAGTTCCTGAGGACCCTGCAGTATCAACGTATCAAGCATATTTCCAGTCAACCCTGCATGAGTATAGATTTCTGCCAGAAGATTCATGACACTACTGGTAGACGGGCTAAGATCATCTAAATCAAGCAAAATATCCCACAACAGCATTACAATCGGATGCAGCAACTGATTCATGTTAGCAACAATAGAAGATGCAGCGGGTATAAGAGCATCAGCAGCAACTGCTCTGACATCATCATCAGGATCTTCCAGTCCACTTTTGCAAGCAGGTAGAACAAACCCCAGCAAATCAGACATCATCTCTCTCCGTACAGCAATCAGATATTTAATCCCCAACAGGCTGCCATGGCGAATTTCCCATTCTGGTCTCCTCTGCATTTGCAATAATATATTCATAGTTTCCCGCACTAATCCAGGGGCCATGTACTTGAGCACAGCCCCTAACGCTTGAGCACATGTTTCCCTCACAGGAGCAACAACTTGATCTGATACATAATCTCCAAAACGATCCAATGATAGCACACAAAGGAAGCAAATAGCACAGTCTTGTAAAAACTCACAATTTCTAAGCCATGAATTCCTAGCTGATCCAACCAAATTCATCAGCTCAGGATTCGTGCTAAGACTTTCCACCACATCTACCTTCTTCTCAGCAGCATCAATTGAATCTATCATATGCAAATCACCACCTTCACTCACACTCTTTGTCTCTAAAACATCGGGTTCAGATTTCATTATTACAGAACCAACATTAGCTTCAGTTAGGCTAGAAGCATTTTCTCCATTTTGCTCAACCTTCACACCCATTTGCTCCGAAGATGGTTCAATGCCTTCATGCTTCACCCTTTTCAAAATCTCCATAGACCCATCTTCTGGAACTTCCAAATTCAAGTCAATTTCTCTCTCTCTTTTCACAGGTAACCTCACTTTCTCACTCGCATTATCCACTGCCCGACCACCTCGAGAGCCCGAGTCATTCATAGACACCCCAGCATAAGCACCCTGATAAGTCAAAATTTCCCTCAAGGCCATAATACTCCCATGACGAATCTCCCAAACAGGATCAAACATATCAACAAGAAGCTGTTCAACATACCCATGAAACTGCCAACACCCATCTTCCTCAAGTTCCACCCCATCATCATCAGTAGCCGACTCCACCGATCCCTTACCCGACCCACTACCTCCCCTAAACGCCTCAGACCCACCCGACGAAACAGCCCCAGCCTTCTGCACCCCCACATTCACCCCACACCTAACATCATTCGAATTAACCTTCGCTTTCCTCTTCAAAAGATTCAATTCCCTGGCACTCGGCCTCTGCAACCGAAACGCCCGATACCCACCTCTCTTCCTACTATAATCACCTACAGTTTTTGATGATTCCGAAGATGGAAACATCACAAGATCCTCATCCCTAATCATATCACTAACATCCATAAACTGTTCACACATATCAAGCCCCAATCTCCTACGAAGATTCTTCTTTTGTCTAGCCAATCTTTGTTTAGAATTCTTAGCATTATTATCATCACTAACATCATATTCCTGCCCCCCAGAAGCCAATAAAATCCCAAATTCCAACACTTTATTAATATCAAAACTACGAAACGATGAAATACTTGCCTCATTCTTCGGCTTCAACTCAGGGCACCTGAACCCGGCATCGGAAACCTTCTTCGCCGAAATATCAACTAGCTGCTCGATCGAAACCCGCTTCGTGTTCTCCGCAATTGCCCCAATTGCCTTCGCCGCAGCAACTCTCGTATCCCAATTCCGACTCCTCAAACACTGCGACACCTTCCGCAACAACGGATTCAGCTCCTGAGGGTGCGACCTAGCGATGTCCCCGATTTGCCTCGCAGCTGCGAAACGAGTTTGCTGCGTCGACCCGGTATCGAGCAAGGTGAGGAGACGATTGAGCCGCGAAGATGACTGCTGCTGCGGCTGAGGTTGAGGTTGCGGAACCTGCTGCGCCATGACATTACAGTCAAGAATAGGAAGAAATTGAGATTGAAATCGAAGCAATTGGGGGAGAAATTGAGAAGAGGAAACCCTAAAAAGGGGAAAAATCTAGGGTTTAAGGTGAAATTAGGGATCTGAAGGAAGAAAAAGTTAGCCGGAAAATGCGAAGGAGAATACATTGGAGAGTATATATAGAGAGATAGAGGAGAGGGTTTGAAGGAAGAAGAGAGCTTTGAATCCTCATTTTCTGTTGGCATTTGACAATTTACGAAATACAAACACCCAAATAAGGCTACCCCACTTAAAAAATAAAATAAAATAAAATAAAATTAATTTTATGTTATGTTATGGATAATTGGAATTTGTTTTTATTAATATAAAATTGAGGCTTGGGCTGACCTACTTGTTATGTTATTATTGGGTTATTATGAGGTCCATTTGATTTTGGGTTTAAGGGACTATGATTGAAAAGTCATGATCCAATGGAAAAGTGTGTATAGTATTACTCTATTGATTGGTTTTTCATATTGTATGGGTTTAAATTTATTTTGTTTAGAGGTATTTATAGGTGACAAATGAGTTGTTTCTGATTGATAAATAGGTTGTTTCGGAGTATCTTAATAAAAAGTTAATTACTTTATAAGATAAAGGGGCTACTACTCCTAATGTCATATGATTTTGAAATGGAACATCCTTAGGTTTGTGAAGTTGACTCTCTCTCTTGGTGACGGGTGTAGCCCTTTCGTATCTAACAAGTGCACCGACCAAAACTAGTTACAAGTCATGTGAAAGATATGTATTATTGTAAAACTAGTATCAAGCCTTTTGTGATGCACGGTTGTTTTTATTTTTATTGATTCAAATGAAGCTTCACGCCTTTTTTTTTTGTTATTATTTTTCAAATGATGATGCGCGATTGTTACTTGTATAGTTATATTACATACAAACTAACGGTTTAAGGACCAAAGATTAATTTATATGTTTTGCACATGCTGAAAACACTGCCCTTGATTTCGTATTTTGGATGAATACAATGCAACAAGCAGTAGGCCTTTAGCTCAAGAATATACCAATTACGCAAGTAATCATGAATATTGTGTTATTGCTATACTCGTATTTTGTAACTTGCAAGTAGTTGTCTATGTAGCTGGCTGAACAGGCCTTTACTCCAAAGATAAAAGATTCATGTATCAACCTATAAAATTGGGCTTTTCCTTTTAAGATTTTGGTCCAATTCTCATTATTTTTCAAATTGGGCCAATGGACTGGTTTGTCGAGGATCAACCATTGTTCAACAATAAAATTTTAAGTAAACTTTTTATGTATGTACAAATTTTAAAATTACTAGGGCAGTTAGCATATCGCCATAGCAAAGTCATATTTGAAAAGCTCTTTTGTTTTGGTCTTATATTACTTCTTTAACTGTTGACTGTTGGTAACAATAATAAGGGAAAAAAAATATGCAAACAAATACTTTTAGGGGTTTAAATATCCACACACTATTCTAAAAATTTTAAAAAAGAGATAATTAGCATTAATGAAGGCAAATAAGTAAATAAACATTTTAGATAAACACTAGAGTTATATCAAACTAAAATAGAGAAATTGTCTTACCATCATAAACTATCTTGTAGGTGGGGTTGATCAAGGGGAGAGAGAATTAGTTAAATTGGATAAAGTTACGTAAAAAAAAATGTACGAGCGCACTCAATAAAGAATACTCCGTAACTCAGTTGGTTAGAGCTTTCATCCCAAATTTAGGGGATTTTGAGATTGATTTTCATCACTTACCCTTGTGGTTCCCTAAATAAAAAATAAAACTCACAAAAAACACTCTTATGACTTAATTCAAATAATAATGTCTGACAATTTAGTAGTAAATGGTAAATTATAGCTTTTGAAGTATTGTTTCATGAAATTAATAAATCTAGCTTTTGAATTGGAGTATATATAGTTTGTCAAAAGCTATCTCTAAGACTCTATAGCTAGTTAGCTACTACTTGTAGTAGATAGCTCAAAGCTAGCTCAAAGCTAAATCTATTCACACAACTAATAACATCCTCATTATTTGAATTCCTCGTCTCTTTCAATTTTGTCAACCAAACAATAATCTCATTTGCAATGAATTTTTCACTTCTTGCAAACACTTAGTAGTATTAAATCATTTGGTCAATTTCGAGTATATAATTTTTGGTGTAGCCATATAGGTTGAAATTAAAGTTGAATAGCTCAATCGATTAGTGATATACTAACTTAAGGCCCGTGCCATGCACGGTAAATCTGATAATTTTTAAGAAAATTAATTATATTCAATAAATAAAATTTGATGAAACATACACATCAAATGTGTAGAAATTATATTGTCATAATCTATATCAATAGGCAAAGCAAAAAAAATTAAACAAAAATGGATTTTTTGGGCTGTCCAAACTCGAGAATTTTTTCAAGCAGGGCTTGTTTTGATCAGATCTAGTGGCCATATTAGTAAATACTTATTTGTAAATGCCTTTTAATAAACATAAAAAATTAATCAAACAATAGACTAAAAATCTCCACTAAAACTATTAGCAAAAGTGCACAACGTACACATAAATATATTTATTACAAATACTATATCACCTTTTATATCTAAGAAAATCATTTAATTTCAATGGAAATAAATATTACTCTGATCATTAAAGGCAAGAACAATCTATAATTGGGCAACACTAGCTAATCTGTAATTTTGTTTATGGATTGATGCTCTGCATACATGATATCGTCATTCTTTGTTATTATAAAAAATGTGTTTGAAGCTATCCAATTATTGTAGTTGAATCTTTTTTTTTTTATAATTGTTTGTAGATAATAGATTTTTATCAAAACAAAAAAATACAAAAGGAGATGTCAACTATCACTATGCCCGGTGTGTCTTTCAGTATATATATATATATATATATATATATATATATATATATATATATATATGTATATTTATGAATAACAGGTGTAATAAATTTATCATCTCAATCAAGTGTCTCGCAAAAAGATAGTAATAATTTTTTTTGCACTAAGATATTGATTTTTTTTAATTACGTAATTTACAAAAACATTAATTGATATTTTACCTTTCCCTAGAATTAGACAATTGATATAATTGTCAAACATAACATTTATTTAATAGTTATACTATACGCTATAAATCCTTAATTTGTGATAATATATACGTTGTAGTAAAATTTCAGAAACAAAATTGTAATTAATTTTAATATATAGTTATATTGAAATTGCAATAATATATTAGCTAGAGGTATTTGAAAAAAAATTTAAGTGATTTTTTAAAGTAATTTCTCTAACATCAATTATATGAATCAATTTTATTATTACTTTTTTGGAAAAATAAAAAAATACCCCGTTTAAAAAATGATTAAAAAGGAGTTGGAATAATTATATAGGTAAATGAGTATAGAAAAATTATGAACACCAAATAAAAAGGAATATATTTGTCATAAAGATAATATAAAAGATTTGAAATAATATTATTATAAAATCAGATATTAACAAAAAAAAAAATTGTTAAAAAAGAAAGGGGAGTTTTGGAGGGAAAAACAACACCAGGATGTGACACGTGTCACTCCCGATGTCTGTTTTACTATTAAGTTATTGACTAACTAGTTTTGTGCTCGGGCGATGCCCAGATGGTTGATTGATAAAAGGTTAGGATAAACTTTTTGGATTGAATGTTACATACGGTCATATAATCCATTTTGATAATGCACGATATTTAGACATACATACTGAATTGAAATTATATTTTATTTAACTGAAATTATTTTTATTGAACTGAAGGTATTTTTGCCAAAACTAAAATTATTTTTCCTGATCTGATTAAAACTTATTTTCACTAATTTACTATTATTTTTATAAATAAATATATTATAAATGAATCTTATTTTTAAGAAATTTTTAAAACGAATTTTATAATGGAAATAGTACTGAGCTATAAGATATTTATTAAAAGTTATGATTAATTTTTTATATATGAAATATTAGAAGTATATCGATAATAAAACTCTATACAATATTTTTATCTTTAAAAATCTATCCAAACTTTGCTTACTTAGCATCATATGTGTCACAATAAATACCTATTTGTCGCCCACGTGACATGACACTTGGTGAAAAACTGGAGTGCCAAGTGTGCTGTCTCGTGGCCTGGTTGCAAGACCGCCTTTATTTATTTTCACAGAATGGCTCAAACCTTGAAGAAGTATACGAGCATCATATGTGTCACAATAATACCTATTTGTGTCCAGGCGATGCCCAGATTGTTGATAAATTTTTTGGTTTGAATGTTAAATAAGGTCATATAATCCCTTTTGATAATGCTAGATATTTAGACATACATTATCATATTGCTTATTTATATAATACTTGTACTTTTTGTAATTTTGTTTGTAAATCGAAATCTATGTTATTATAGACTTGAAATTATTTTTATTGAACTTAGATTATTTTTACTGAACTGAAAGTATATAATTTTTACCAAACTAAAATTATTTTTACTAATTAAAACCTATTTTTATTGATTCATTTTAAAAATAAATTAAATATATTATAAAGGGATCTTATTTTAAAGAAATTTTTAAAATAAATTTTATGATGGAATTAGAACATAGTTATAGGATATTATTAAAAGTTATGATTAATTTTGTATATGTGAAATATTAGAAGTGTATAATAATAAAACTCTATCCAAAATTCTCTAATTTATCTAATTTTCTTTGACTAATATTTGTGATTTATACAAAAGAATAAATGTAATTTTGTGGGTACTTGTTGGAATTAGGGATGTCAGTGGGGCGGGAATGGGTCCCGATTTGGATAGGTGGTGGGGCGAGGATGGGGATAAAAACCATACCCACCATGGGTGATGGGGTGGGGGTGGATTTTAGGTTGTACCCACCCCATCCCTGCCCCGCCCCAGCAGCCCCACTTCATACCCCCCCGCCCCACTCGCACTCGCCTAATACCCACATCCATAAGTTTTAAAAAATAAAATTTTATACTATTTTATAAAAGAAAATTACGTAAAGTAATGTAGTAAAGTATAATACGAAATACTTTGTGATTAGGGGATTTTTATCCACCAAGCGCCGTTTGACAAGTGGACCAACCAGGTTCCGCCACGCGTCCTCCACGGACCACTTAAGACACGCCACGTGTCCACCCATGCCAAATGGGACAACCGGCCATCAAGGCCCATTTCAGTCTAGAAGCCCGATCGGCCCTAGGTTTACCTTAAACCTAGAGAGTTG